CAAAGGACCCAACTCTTCAAATGAATTTAGTCGAATTCTTTATGATATTGATGTGGTCGCTATATGGAAGCCTGATGATGAACAGTTAACTGATCAGGAGACTTCTTATGCCAGTGGAAGTGGCACTGATCCTTCTTACTCGCAATTTCCAAGGCGTGTTTTCAAACATGTCAAATATCGACTAGTGCGTAGCTTAGAAGGGCTAGTTATTTCTACTACTGTTCCTCCTGCTCTACTACAAACAAAACCTGACTTCACAAGTGAGTGGCTAATGCAACTATCTCCGAATGGTCAATATTTGGCTGTTTTACAGGAACATAAATTAGAAATTAGAACAAGCAAGAGTGGGTTTGAAACTAATCATGCTATTTTTCATTCTAAAAGAGAAGCTTTCCCAAAATGGAGAAGAATTGCTTGGAGTTTAGATTCAAAAATTCTTGCCACTTCAAGAAGTGATGGTACAATTGAAATAATTGATGAAAATGGCCACTTAATCTATTCTATTTCTCCCAGTTTAAATGTGAACACTGAAACAAATAAAGACCTCCAAAATCAACCACAATCACAACAACAAGCTAGTTCTTCTTCAAGTTTTTTCCTAGAACCTGTAGCCTTTTTAGCATTTGTTGATCCCAAACGTGGCTCCAACAAACAATTTTTTAATTATGAAGGTTATCATTACAAACATGAACTATTGGTCATCACTTATGATGGTATTTTACGCAGTTATCTACTTAATAGTCCAGATGATTTAATGCCTTCAAATTCTCATCATTATGTAAAAAAAACTAACATGACTTATTCATGGGAGGGTTCCTCGGATCCTGGATATTTTGTTTTTTATCACAAATATTCTTTTAAAAAATGGTTGTCTACAATTGTTTGTGGGGCTGTTGTGACAAACAATGGTTTATTACTTTATTTAGGTGGAAAAACTAATAATAGTAATATTATTAATGATGATGATGAAAATGAGGGAAATAGTAGTGTTGAATCTTCCTCTGTTACTTGTTGGGTAATTTTATCAGATAGACCTTATTATCGTAGATTAGAATTGGAAGGAACCATTGATGATTCTGCAGATGACATATCCAATTTGAGTCAAGGGGTAAATGATACAGGGTTATTTTCCCGAATACAAAGTATTTTTGTAACTTGGGGCAAGAGAAATAAAAATTTCACTGATAAAATAATCCATAACATGATACTTTCACATGATCAACAGAAACTTTTAACGTTGGATTTTTCTGGTTGTGTAAAATTATGGAAAGTTTCTCATAGTAAAGGCGTAGATCTTTGTCATTCATGGAATCAAACTGAACTTAATTATTTTGCTAGAAGCAGAGAATACAAAGATCTTTCATATGAACAATTTATTAAAAAAATTTCAGATATTGAATGTGAAGGTGGTAATGTATCTGGAATTTCCGGTTTGGATAATGGCAAGGTATTTACAATAGGTTGGTGGACAAATGAAGCAATCATATTAGGATATCAGCATGGCTCATTAATTATTGCCAGCCTCCCTGATATGTATAATATATTAGGTGATTCTCCCGAGTCATTTAAATCATGTCTAGAAATTGCATGTCAGTCTGACAATCGATTTTTGGTCATTGAACATGAATTTAAAACAATTAGAGCACGTGTTCATGGTGATAATGTGATATCATATTCAAGAGCACAAGAAGAAGGTGTACCAGATGAAGATGAGTTTGATGATTCAAAATCTTATCTATTGCAAATTTTACGTACAATCACTGACTCACTTCATTATATCACTGATACACTTTTATGGCATTTTGAGAGTGATTCTTCAACAATTCGTGGTAAGTTTATTACAATTTCCAAAAGGACATTTAGGCTCAATCGAATATCCAAAATTTTACCACAAGAACTTCTACATCGTAAAATAAATGCACTTGAATATGATGATGCTTTGAAAATTGCAGAAACATATAATTTAGACACTGATATAATTTATCAGGCTCGTTGGCGTGATTCTGACATATCAGAAAATTCTATTCATGATTATCTCGACAAAATACATGATTGGGAATGGGTACTTTCCACATGTATTAATAGAATACCTAAAACTCCTGATATGATTCGTAATTTGTTGAAATATGGCTTGGATCATACAGATATTTTAGATGAGATGTTTTCCATAGACTCCATCAACAAAAATTCTGAATCTAAATTGGAATTGATTAAGAAAAATTTACGCGAAAAACCTATTAATTTAGACAATAGCATGGAGGAGATCATGTCAAAAATAAAATTTTCTGATAATCATATTTTAATATGCCGATATAGATTTTATTTTTTGAAATTTCTCGATAGGCTACACACTTATGAAGATATAGTGGAAGAAAAAAAAAGGTTAAATATTGAAAATGGATTAATGGATGCTTTAGAAGAAAATGGTAATTGGGTAGCATTTGTAGACTATTATTCAAAATTTGCAGAAGACTATGCTTCATTTCGAGAAGGAGATATTAATATAAAAGCAATTTTGTTTGCACAAGATGAATTTTTTAAAGGATTACATATTTTGTTTACT